GCCATCTTGCTCCGCCCCCCTATCATTATTAATTTAAATAGCCACATGTGACTCATGGCTTCCATACTGGACAGTGTAGTTTTAACACATGAACCTCTTCTATCCCTGCATGTCTCTGATCTTCAAATGAAATTATTTTATTCATATGCTTTATATTGCTTATTATCCATCTCTTCATGCTTGAATGTCTTGGATTGGATATGTGACACTCAGGGTAGGGACTTACATGTAGTAATATCTCAGGAAATTTTTTGTTACACAGACTTTAAAATTAGTAAATGCCCCTCAGGAACACTTTGCTTTTTTGTGTTAAGATTTTATTTTTAAATAATCTGTACACCCAGTTTGGGGCTTGAACTTATAGCCCCAAGATCAAGGGTCACATGCTCTGCCAATTGAGCCAGCCAGGTGCCCCATGAGCACTTTGCTATTTTTTAAATGCTATTCCAAAGGTCTTAGCTTCTGATAATATTGCTTTCCACTAAAAATCCAGGAATCAAACTCAGGGTAGTATTATAACATAAACTGCTATCAGGTTGTATTCTTACAAAGTTGGTTTTATGACATTCAGCTCAACGTTTTGCATTCATCCTAATCAATTATATCTCCTTAGTTTCTGTTTGTTTTTCCATTATGTTGAAATGGACCTGGAGTCTGCCCCTCTCACTTCCAATGGTTTGCACATTCGGGAATTCTAGGGATTTTGTTCCTCTACCGTACTTGCGGCTTCTGATACTGCCCAAGATTTGCACAGTGTGGAAGTGTTGGAGAAGGTCATCGAGAGGTCATGACCCAGGTCGTGACCCCCGGTTGACCCGAAAGCTGAACTCAGGCAATCAGAGAGGCTTCTCACCCCTCCCCTGTCCTTGGATATAAGGTCCGCCCAGCATTCCCACAGTGGGAGCCATTGTCAAGGACGCAGCCTTGAGACAGCAATGTGTGGGGGCAAGTGGATGGTATACTTGACTGAGCCCTGCCAAGGCCTCTACATAAACTTGTAAGATTCTGGAGGGCAGGTGCAGAGACCCACTCGTCTTGCAGCTGCCTCAGACAAGCCTCGTGAGTAATCTCCCTCGCTTGTTAACACCGCCACCCACCCATCGGGAGCGGTTTGCCTCCTCCCCGCTCTCCCTGCCCTGCGTATGTGGGGCCGGTGTGCAAACCCAAAGGAAGCTTAGGGTTCAGATCCAAGATATTTGTTGTTTTTAGACACCAGCTCTTTGGTTGAGTTAAAGTCAAGTCTTTGGCTATTTTGGGAGGATGGAAGGTCAGACCGTCATTATGACACAAAATTGCCCCAAAGTTTTGTTTGCTTTCCTTTGTTTAGCAGAATTCTCATAGCATTTTAAAAACAGCAGAAAAAGTGTAGAATTTCACTCTCTGTGAGTTCTCCTTTGTGCGCTGATCTTAAAAGGCTCTGCTTTTTTTTCTCCTGGTGAAAGGATGAGGTAATGTGAAGGAGAAAAATGAAAAAGATATTCTTCTAGCCAGGCATACCTGGTTTCATTTTTGCTTACTGCCTTCAAATTCTGGGCACCTGCACACATTACACACGCACGAGTCACATGCAATTTTTTGTGTTTACACAATATTCTAAGTGGATCAAAAAGGTGGATTAATGATTTTATCTAATGGCTATATTCTATGACATTGTAACAAACATTTGGTCAACCAGCCCCCCACCCCCGTCCCTGGGCGTTTAGCGGATGCCAGTGGTGAGTCATTATTCTAATAATGAAATAACAGTCAGTGAATGTCTTCATAGATGTAGTGCAACCTGACTCAAATAGACTAAACAGTGGTATCCAAATGGAATAAAGCGTATGAGTCCTTCATAGCTTTTGTGGGATTTTCCCATGCTACTTTCCAAAAGGATGTTACCAGTTTGCGGTACCACCAGGTGGGGTGCGACCATGCTGATTCGTAATGAGAGTGTTTCTCTGTCACTTTCCTAATCCGGGCTTGTTTTGACAATAGGGCTGATCATAGCGGTAGCGACCGTAGGAGCAGCTAGTATTCTGGAGACATAGCATGGGAGAGCAGGAGAGCTAGTGCTTTAAGAACATTGTTCATAGTGGCTAAAGTTATGAACTCTGGAGGCTCACTTCATGAGGTCAAATCCAGATTCTACCACTTAACCTCTAATTTACGTTCATTCCTTCCTTGCAAATGATTTGTGGGGTTACCGACTGAAGACCAAGTGAGTTTACACAGTAGAGCGCCTAGTAAGCCCTGGATAATGTTGATTATTATTCCTACTAATGGGTGTTTTTTATTAACCTCATTTTACAGGTGAGAAAACTGAGAGAGGAGGTGAATAGCTCAAGACCACTTAGCTTCTGAAAAGAGGGGCTGGGATTCCAACTGCAGGGGCCCATTCTCCAAGAGCTACAGTTTCAGGGATGATGCAGGGACCAGAACTCAAAGCGGAGGAGAAGTGTTACTGTTGCTGCCGAGTTAGTCCGAGGTGGAATCAGGCACAGAAAAGGACAGCATAAGGCCGCAGTGTCTCATTGGAAATGCCATGATGTAATTCCTTGTCTCCAAGACAAACAATATAGCTGGGGTGGTTTTTTTTTTTTATATATATATATTATTTTCTTCATCCTTGAGATCTAAAGGTAGCTCTGTATGTAAGTGTCACATGGGATTGTGAAATCCTGCCTTGATTACATGGGCCTGGTGGGCAGCAATCCCAGGGTCACACTTCGGACCCCCGCAAACGCCTTCCTTGTCTCAGGAGGGCTCTCTATAAATTCTTACCTGAATTTCTCCTAAACATTACCATAAACACTTTCGGTTATTTCTTAATGTACTTTGTTCATAACTGCTTAGTCAATTATTTTTATTAGCATAACATTCCTTTTAAGCATAATGATGTTAGACAAAACAGAAACAACATAAGCATATTTTCTTAGCTATGGCTGATTGCAAGTGTTTTCTCTTTCTTTTTTGGACTTCCTTTGCAGTTTGATGAATTAATTGTGAATTTCCCAAGGGGGACCTAACATGAACTGAAATTTGTCATTTATTCTATAATGTTTAGTTTCTTTTCTGGTTCCAGTGACTATCCTTTGAGACCGAAGTTTGAATATTGCCAAGGGCTCATAAAATTGCTGATATAACCTACTTTCTCCAGAGAACCTGACTTCAATTTTCATAATGAATTAATGCCTTCTTTCTCCCCCAATTTCTTTGCTCCCATAGCTATTTGTGGAGACCACTGATGTCAATGGCAAAACTCTTGAGGGGCCAGTTCCTCTGGAAGTCATTGTGATTGACCAGAATGACAACAGACCCATCTTTCGAGAAGGCCCCTACATTGGCCATGTCATGGAAGGATCGCCAACAGGTATGTTAAATTGGTTTACATCAGCATAATGGCTTGGAAAGTGGCATCCTGTGATCTTTGGGGATTCTAGAGGCTTTTGTTGCTGCTCCAACTTGTTGGTATGCATCAACACTGACATGTTATCTCCCTGGGTAGAAGCAAGGGCTACAAATCTGCAACTCAGAACAGGACTGGAGTGTTGCAGGCTATGGAAGTCTCTCGCCTCGTCTCTGAAAGCCATCTTTCAAGGATGACCGACATCTAAGTCTCTCATGCGTGGCTGATTGTAGACACTGTATAAATACGTAACTCACCGTTGTGAGGGCCCAAGGTTGAGCTTTGTGGTATGACAGGGCTTTGAAGAAAATTAAGGTCCCCCCACCAAACTCCTCACTTCTTCCTTTCATCATTCTTTTAATAAGAACCATTTTGGAAAAAACCAGGTAGGACTTATTTTTTCCCTTTCCTTACACGAGGCGCATGGAGAAACCTTTTGTCTTCAGTCAAAGGGCCAAAGGCAAGACATTTTATTTCTCTCTGGAAACATATGCACCTACTGTGATGTTACTACAGAGTTCCTCTTATCTTTTTTCCACACTTAACCTTTCTAGGGAAGATTGTAAAATTTAGAGCTCCCTTTTTTGGTGCAAAAGACACCAATAAAAGCATTCTGTGACTGGCAGCAGAAGTCACAGCTGAGTATGATGCTTGAGCAAGTGAAGAGCAAAGTCGAAAAATCCCTATTATGAGACTGGACTTTGATTTTAAGCTTTAAAATCCATTTGGGTGAGGAAGCACCATAGGGAGAGTCTCACTGTTGCTGCGCCTAGATTATGCCCAAACAAATAAGTCATTCAGTTGGCCAGACGGGAGATGGAAGCCCGAGCACTGCTTTGACTGGTTCATTTTCCCCCTTTGCTGAATTGATGGGATATATCAATAACATGTAGATATATGAGGCTCTGCAAGGATTGTCATGATAACCTGCCTAGACTACCCCATGAGTAATTGTATTCAAGGTGCCCACACCTCCTTCCAGCTTCAAGGAGCTGGGTCTCCCTATACTTCATCAGCTCCCCAGGGGCAGGAGGTGAGCTCTCCTCTGCCAGATTTGAAGGCATTCTGTAAAAAGGGGTGGGGATTGCCTGTGGGTGCTAGGGGGCATTTGGGGGAGCCCAGAAGGTGGAAGAGTAGCAACCGGTCTAGAAAGATGGGGAGCAGCAGGTGAAGGTGGGTCCGATCACTTTTGGCCAAGCCTTTCCCGTGACACCTCTCCCTATCCCGTAGGCTGCTTTTGATGGAAGGAGGGCTTCTGGTGAGAGAGACCCTGGAATTGGGGTTCGATGTTCACAGATACCTTCTTAAACAAGTTGATGTGCAGGACGAGTCAGGGGAACTGATGGGGAAAGCTATTAAAGAGGCTGGAGTTTGAGCAGAACAGGAAAATGATTCCCAGTTTCCATCTGTGGTGCTGGGGCCCTGTCTGTGAGTGACTGGAATTTGAGCCGGGCCAGGAAAGTGTTCTAAATGTAAATGACAATGCTTACGTCGGAGGCGGCTGTGAGCGTGTATGTGTCTTTGTATATTATGTGTGTATATGATTAGACGATGTCCAATTTTCCTCCCACTGTGCCCTTCCTTAAAGTTCCAGAAAGAATTTCAAATTTTATTGCTTTATATACATGTCACATTTTCAAAGAAAAATGGAATCTTTTATGTACACTGAATTTATTAAAGCACAAAGTAATTCAGTTAGGGTGGACGGATCTCTAGCAAAACATGAACTACCTCCAACTCCTATTTATGATTGGTACTATCCTATAAAAATACCTAAAGATGCGGATAGTTGTGTGGCTTCTTGCAGCTCTGCAGAATTTGGCCTGAATCATTGTTTTGTTTTGCAGCCTCCTCTGGGTTTGGTTTTAAAGCAGGAATTGAAAGAGATTCAGTCAGATCTGGGGTCAAGAGTGTGGAAATGTTGCAGAAAACTTTTAGAGGAAACACCACCTAGATCACTCAGCGCCCTCATTCTAAGGGATCTCAGGCATGATGGCCCCCGAAGCCTCGATGAGGGCGGTGGGAATCTGGAGCAGGGGCTGGGATCCCTTTCCAATCCCCCTCCCCAACCTAAACCACTTACAAGTTAGAACAAGGAACCCTGACCAGCTGTAGAAATAATGCCCTGCTCCTTTGTTGTTGGTGGAATCTTCTGTGTCGGAGACGCTATAGCGGATCCATTTTACAGAAGGGGATGCTAAGCCTGGAAAGAGTTCCGTGACTTTGCCCCACTCACCTAAAGAATAGATGAGGGGCAGTGTTCAGGCAGGGTTCATGTGCTCTTTCAAGTGCCCAGCAACCTTCATGGTGAAAACAGCCATCAAACTACAGCAGCATGGGGTTGAGTGCTTACCGTGTGCCAAGACCTTTATGACCTAGTGTCCTTGCCTCCACTCCATCATTCCCTCCCCAGAGGGGTGGATACACTCTCCCCATCATACATAGGAGAAAAGTGAACCTCAAAGAGATCCGGACACTTGGCCAAAGTCCCACAGCTGGTGGCTGAGTCGGAATCTCTGTCTGCATCTCTGGCGCGAGGCACGGGCGGGCTCCCATGTACGGGTTGACATTGGCCACCTTCCCTCCCATTCTTCACCATGGACTCTTTTCAGTCCCAGCCAGATGCCAAGTATTTGCTCTATCAGCAGAACTGATGTAGCTCCTAACGGAAAGTAAACCACTCTTCTGACCAAACACCCAGCTCATCGAATCACTTGGTATAACATGTGCTGTTGCTCAGTCTCTGAGGTTGAACAGTGTTACGTGTGGGCCTTGTTGTCACTCACATTGCTTTCTTCTGAGTTCAAGTCATCAGGGCCAGTGTCGTGGGGTGTGACCTGCATGGCCTCACAGGGCCCCACGTTCCAAAGGGCCCCACGTTTGGTATTAGGCTCTGCCGTCACCACCTAAAAATTATTAATAAGTAATGAACAAGGGTCCCTGCATTTTCCTTTTGCACTGAGGTCCCCCCCCCCCCCACTTAAGAAGCTGGTCCTGAGCACTGCACTGTGGTCCAGGGCTGGCTTGATGCTCCATTCAGCTCCTTACCCAGGTGAGACCTTGGGCAGCTTACTGAACCTTCTAGAAACCTCAGTCACCTTGTCTGTAAATGGGGTGGGTGCATAATAGCACCTGCCCTAGAGAACTGTATGCAAGCATTAAATGAGACACTGCTTCTCTCAGCACTTACAATAGAACAAAGGTTCAAGAGATGCTAGCGCATTGTTAATGCCCCCTATTATTCTTATTATTCCTGCAGCGTACCGTTTAGGGGAGGTAAGGGAAAGAGTCAGGCAGTTTGTGCGAAGGAACATTCATCTCCCAACAAACCGAGCATCATTTTCATGTTCCAGTGTACCTGGATATGCCATCAGCACCAATCCGTCATGGAGGAAGGTCACCCATATTTATCTGTGTGTGCAGACAGGAGACCGTTTCCAGCCACTCAGCACTAAAACTGCAGGGTGTTATTTGGGGGAATCAGTACTGGATGAGGGAAGATCAACAGAAAATGATGGTCTTTGAACTTCGCAAATTATGAGTTATTCCTTTCATGGAGTCACAGGGCATTGATTTATGGGACCCAAGCCCCAGCCCTGGCTGCTCTGTGGGGCCAGCCAGAGCTCAGTGCGAGCCTGGTGCTTTCTGAATGCCCAAGGCATGCCTGGACCTCATAAGTGGGGACAGAGGGCTGGGGCCCTTGAAGATCCTGGAGGGCACACATGCCGGAGCCCCACAGTGCCTACTAGGACCAACTCCCCGGTCTCTTGCCACCAGTTAGTCTTCTGGGCACCGTTGAGAAGGGCCAACCACGAGACCCAGAGATGAGGTCTGAGGGCACGTGGTTTACCTGGGAGGTGCAGGATACCAGATGAGGAGTGCTCCAGGTAAGGGAGGCCAGCTACCAGGGTGGGCAATTGTGAGCTTGATCCCTTGGGGGGTGGGGGCCCCCTAGGAAATGACATAAACACACACACATTAGAGTTACCCCAGCCCAGGCAAGCTGGAATATGCATCCCCACACACCCATCAGATAGTGGCCACCGACTATCCCCAGAGGGACTTTAATTCCCAGGCACCCTTGGCCACTTGCGGACTGCGCCAGGAGGGGCAGCCTTCCAACAGGATACAGGAGCTGCCTGTTGGGCTGGCCTCAGCTGTGCTCTGCCCTCCGTGCTTTTGAGCAGCCCGAATGTGAGCAGGGGCAGCTTGGAGGAAGGCACCCCCCACCTGGATGCATGGAGCGGCTCTGAGAGATGTCAGGGGAGGGAGGTGATGGGAGGAATTATCTTAGTCCCTAAAAAGCATGACCAAGAAGGACAAATGTGATGTTGACCTTTCTCATTATTTTATTTTTTAAATTTTTTTTAAAGATTGTATTTATTTATTTGAGAGAGAGATAGAGTAGGGGGAGAGGGATAAGCAGACTCCACACTGAGCACGGAGCCTGATGCTGGGCTCAATCTCACGACCCTGAGATCATGACCTGAGCCGAAACCAAGAGTCGGATGCTTAACTGACTGAGCCACCCAGGCGCCCTGACCTTTCTCTTTAAATAGGAGTCAGGACCTGGAGGTGCACGTTCTGACTCCTAAGAGAGATGACACTTCTCCTTGAGCAGGTGGAGAAAAGTAGAGATTAACAGCTAAATCCTCTTCTGACTTCTGAGAACACAGGTGCCCTTGCCCTCTCTGACTTCCTCTCTTGCTCCCTCTATTTTTTTCCATCCGGTACCATTACTGAGCACCTACTCTGGGCCAGCACTCTTCTGAGCTCTGAGGGGGCAGCCGTGGACCTGTCTGATGCTGCCCATTCCCTCCTGGTTTGCAGAGCCAAGCAGGGAGACTGGCAACAAGTAAGAATTGAAATGTGGGGAGCGCTATGATGCAACCACACAGGACACCTATCCCAGAGGGGTGCAGACCAGCCTCCCTGAAGAGGTGCTATCAGAAGAGTAGGGGCTT